AGACAAAGTAATTCAATATGCAATATTCTGGAAATTGGGTTAAATTGAAATCAGGGACTCCTGTTAGACATTTACAAATACAAGGATTAGTTATTCAGTAACTTGATGTTTGAGAACCAAATGAAGAGTATGATAATCCTGTATGTTTATTTTATCTCAAAACGGCGCTGGCGATATTGTGAAATGACACCATTTACACAATTATGTGAATACCAATGTCCATAAAAGAAAACTAATTTGCACTCGATTTTAATTTCGTATTTACATGTAATCACAATATGAAAAAGGGGCGGGAATATGTAATCCCAAACACATTATCTATACATAGCTTCCAAAAACAACATAAATAATGTCTTCGTACACAGCAGTACCCAATTTATTTTACATTAAATTGTCACATGTAAAAATATGAATTTAGAATTTAGTATGGTTGTCTTAATTGTCATTGCACTCACAGTTAACTGTCAAGATATATTTTTACATGTGACTATAGTAATTATATACACACAGCGTGCATATCGTAAGTAGAGCATGTAGTTTTACAACCTGTTAAGCACATTATATTAATTAGTCACTGTTAGTGATCATTGAAGCCGTTCGTGATGAGATGATATGTGATATGGACATGGTGCGATGATAGAAGCATGCCTAATACCAATGGAAAAGAGAATGCGTTTTAGTAGCAACAAGGTGTTTTCAATTTACTCACTGAGCGATAAATAAACACTGACTCTCAATTTATTTTAACCAATCTTACTAGTTATAAATCCTTATAAAAAAGTAACGTGGTATTGTATTAGAATATATGTTTTTATCTATACCCATGCTTTAAAACCTCTATTAAAGATTCTGAAACAGTTAGCTTATAGCCTTAATTAAAAAAAAAACATTATAACACCCTAACGGGTGTTACAATGTACTTAATTTCATAATAACACACCTCCACTTTTTAATTGCCTTCCGCGCCGAGGGCTTACTTATCAGACAGCGACAAGTTTTCACTGCTTGATACGTGATAATGAGATTTAAAAAAAATGACATTCACGGGCCTTTCAATACCACAGCCCCAAAACTTCATGAATTTTAAGTTCTTAGAACGTGAGGATTCAAATCAGGGGTGTAGATAAAGTCTTGTATGAAACTGCTTATAATTATTTATTTATCTATAACAAAGTTTCTAAAGCGATTTTTGTGGATTTAATACAATAAAATATAAATACAATCTTAATGCCAATTACAGAATCTTAATTATGTATTAAAACACTCATTTGATTCTATTATCACAAGAGGCATCGGGTTTAAATACCTCTCGTTATACAACAGTTGCATAAATAACTACTTTTCATTAATTTATCATAAACGATTTTAAAAAACTTCTGATTTTTGTGTATTAGAATTCAAGAAGCTTATATTGTTACAAAAATTAATATATTAAGAAGGTTTCCAGAGCTAATACATAATAAAGAGTTAAAAACATTTCGGTTTGTAACACAATCGCTCATTGTTACTATAACGCACCCCTTTACTCTGTTCAGGGAAACGAGTTAGTGGGGCGCTTTCTTTATTCCACAATAGCTTCTAACAGATAAAAATGGAAAGCTGCTTTACATGAGAAAGGGGAATGTAACTGGCCAAAGTAACGACAACAATACAATCCGGCAAATGACAGAGAATCTTAACTTTCGTCGGTACCAACTCGTTTCGTAGACTAGAGTATAGTACATGTAACAACACATCATAATATGTCATCACAGATAGGTAATCTTCCGTCTTGCTGGGTGCCGTTACCCGTCGCGTAGCTAGAACTCTGACTGTGATGTGAAAATGGACACAAGTCACAGCCGGAGTGCTAGCGACGAAACGTGCGCTCTCCTGCCCGAACACTTGCTGAACACGCTTCTATATACATACATAATTAAATAATATATTATATCCCTGAGGCCACCAAATGAATCACTCACAGACATTGATCGAAATAGATACCGAAGCGGAAAAGGGAGAGCAAACGTCCTCCTCATCCTATTCCGCTATTCTATATCTTTTTAGCGCTGTTCTCGATACGGATGCCAATCACAATATTTTGAATTGCCTAATTGTGCCATAAAAAACTGTTATAACGATAGAATTTAAACGGGTTGCCGGTGTACATGCTTTTCCACCACTTAATTTGTTATCGAAATATAGCACGCTCAGTTTTCATACAATTTGACACATTCGTCGTTTACTTAAATCTGGGTCTGTGGTGTCACTAAAGTTAAGCCAACGAGAAGCGATACAAAAGTTCATTCACTTTATACGAAACTATGGGACTGACAGTCTATTAACCACCTCTTTTATCTCATATATGGGACATTCGCTCTCGCTCTGTCATGTCACGTGATCGCCGAGGCGCCGAGGCGCCGAGTTCGCCAACATTCGGGCGCCAATTTTACAGTAAAAAATAATGACATATTTTCATTTCGTTTCGTGTCTTTCCGATACTACTCACGGTTATAACAAATAATGTTTGTTTTTTGAACTGTTGTGATTTTCTGTTTTAATAATATGAATGACAGTTTTCTACATTTTATTTAAATATATGCCTATTAAAATTATAAACATGCTGTATTAATCTTCATAAATAAATTGTCATTTTAAAAAAAAAAATGCCAACGCCTGCATTTGTCAATGACCTTTCATCGACTTTGTTTACATTTTGTCTCGCTTCTCATTGGCCGTACTTTAAAGGTATTTGTTATAAAGTAATAACGTGAGAAAGACATGAGCATACAAAAGTCGTCCCATAACCAATTTAATGTCGAAGGTACAGTGTAATACATAGTATGCAGGTTGTGAAGTTAGCAGTAAGTAAAACTACCCGCTAGCACTGTCAAACGAAGAGATCTTATAACTTTGCCGTGATTTACACTAGCTTTACAACCGCCATTAAGTTTGCGTCACACTGTAAGGTTCACTTGCAAAAAAGTTCTTCACTCCAGTTAAGGCTTAATCGTGTTTAGCACATAAAGGAACTTTGATTATGACATAAGGCAGATCTTATGCCGGCACTTCACATGTCTATTTGTATTTGTGCAATAAGCAATAATAATAGAATAGGGATCTACCATCCTTTATAGTGAATGAAATAGTCCAGTCAGTATTGTCGCGAAATCCGTTTTTCCTCAAACAGCTGGAACTATGCTAAAAAGTTTCTTAAGATAGTAAAGAACACTTTACATAGAGAAAAAAATGTTTCCAACCCCGGGCAAGGGTGAAAACCACCCTTAATAATCTATTTTTCCAATTATCTCAAAAAGTATACGAGATACGGAAAAAAACTTCAAATGAAAATTGTAGATCTTTTTGAAATCTACAAAACATTATTCCACCCTCTTGCCCCTATTTTCAATAGGGGAGCCAATAATCGAAGTCAAAGATAACTTTTTTAACTAACTAACTTTTTAAGTATTGAATCTTTGACTTCGATTATTGGCTCCCCTATTGAAAATAGGGGCAAGAGGGTGGAATAATGTTTTGTAGATTTCAAAAAGATCTACAATTTTCATTTGAAGTTTTTTTCCGTATCTCGTATACTTTTTGAGATAATTGGAAAAATAGATTATTAAGGGTGGTTTTCACCCTTGCCCGGGGTTGGAAACATTTTTTTCTCTATGTAAAGTGTTCTTTACTATCTTAAGAAACTTTTTAGCATAGTTCCAGCTGTTTGAGGAAAAACGGATTTCGCGACAATACTGACTGGACTAAAAAGGGGATACAGTTGTCAATTTTGGTAATTCAAATACAAATAGCTATGTGAAGTGGTAGTAAAAAGATGTTGCCCAGTAATATGTGACAGATAGCTAGCCCATCGAATTCAATGGTTACCAAAAGTAACCTATCCATTAAGGCTTTTAAAGTCTGTGTGGGCAAGTAAGCAGCTGTCGCAATATGTTTCCCTTCAGCTATTCCTTTTTCAAAAGTTCTTATCTGCTAAATTTAGCAACCCTAAATACCTTGCATTGCAGTTGAAGCATTTTTTTTTTATAAATACTCACAAACCACCATGAACATAAAAGTGCGATCCGTCGCGCAGTAAACGAAATTAAATGTGTACCACCACCAATGAAATGCGAATGAGAATTAAATATGTACTTTATTTGAGAAGACTTAAATTTGAACGATTAACTTATATCCAAACGAATTAGCTGTTACGATACTTATGACATATTTTAATTATGACGAAATAACACATTAATGTAAAAAAAACAATCTACCCCCTTTGCTGGATGGATTAAACCTTATCTTTTCAGTATCACATAGGTTTTATCAGCCTAAGATATCATTCTCACTGTAGTTATGGATTGGGCGTTTCGCCTGATTACTTTATGGTTAAAAAAAGTTATGTAATTCTCGATTGTGTACTGCCGGCATAAGCATACAATCTATTTGGTGTACTGTCAATGTAACGTACCATCGATTCGGGATCCTATCGATTCATTAACCCGTCGATGGAGCTTTCAATACGGCGTCTGTCGTTGCAGTGACTGTCGATATTATGAACAAGACCATAGGGTTTGGTATAGTAAACCATAGGGTCTGGTATATGCGAATAGTCGCATACTACTTAATGGTTGGAATCACGTTGACTCCAAAGAGGCCTCTAGGAGAATTTGGTACTTGCTTGTGTACAGAAACTGTACTTTCAGGGCCGAATAGATGGAACTTTACATTTATTTGTTGAAAAGTTCTGTATTAACGAAGTTTATTGGCTCGCTCGGCTCGCACGTCATAGTCACAACACTTTACCTAACCTAGTGTGTGAAATATCAACTCGTGGGCGAGGAAGGTAAGCCGAGAATTTCATGTCTGGAATAGCGTTGTAAGATGCGAAATTAGTGAGCAGTAAAAAGGTGGGTTTCGCTTCGATTCGGCGCCTTTTTGACGAAGACAAGAGAGTTACATGCGAATAAAAACATTGTTTAGTTTGATTTTAGTGTCACGGCTGTTAATATGTATGTTACCTGACTCCTGGTCTTCGGTCTGAAGTTGAAAACTGCCAATGGGTGCGAAGTCGTCGCTGTCAGCTATCAAAGCGTTCCTTAGTCGCATTTTCCGCGCACTTCCATCCGCTGTACACAAATAACAATTGGTTTCGTTAATAAACTAATTCTACACTTCAAAACATAAAATGCCCGATTCCAAGTGTATTATTGCTGCTGTATAGATACTGATGGTAGATATACAGTGGAAAATACGTTTTATAGTTTAAATTAAACCTTTGATACCGTACAGATACAAAAACCTTACTTTTTTGATAATATTTCCATGCTAATTAACGTTTACCTGATAAATACAAAAAAGAAATTTATGATTGGTCTGAAAACATCCATAGAATCTAGAAGCTCGCCAGCGCAATGGTTAGCGCATTCGGATTACGATCGTGAAAGTTTCGCAACTTTTGCAATGACCGATCACAGCTTTGAAGGGCACGCAGGCCGTTGGTCCCTCCTATATCTGCCGTCATTCGCCATCATTCGAGTGGCCTGTTTTCCCAATTCCTATGGCGGCTCTGTCTGACTTTTAATGTCCCCGCTGCTAAGTGGGACATTAAAGTCTACTCAGTCGTCACCTCCAAACTTTGATGCGCTTAATGTTTGTAATTAATTTAATTATCTAGAAACACTGAAGTCCACAACTGTTATACATAGAACAGTCACAGTCAGGCGTGGTGAGGGGAGTGGTGCTTGCAGTACGAGCCTTTGTTCCCTGTACGTCAAGCTGTTTGCGGGGAGTACTATGCCTACTTTGATGCGCTTAATGTTTGTAATTAATTTAATTATCTAGAAACACTGAAGTCCACAACTGTTATACATAGAACAGTCACAGTCAGGCGTGGTGAGGGGAGTGGTGCTTGCAGTACGAGCCTTTGTTCCCTGTACGTCAAGCTGTTTGCGGGGAGTACTATGTCTTTATAAAGGTCTGAGTGAGTCTGAACTAAGGCGATGTTTGATGATGATAATGATAGCATAGATAGAACAGACACCGTCGACGTGGTAAGGGGCGTTGTATACCACGTTCGCACCAGGGGGCCAATCGCCTAACGAGATTGATATGGATATTGCTATCGCTTACGATTTCATTTTCTCATTTCTGACCGCTGAAGGTTTTGAAATGCCTTAGGCTCGTTTTTTTTCTTTTGCATTGGTCATAACAATATTAAAGAAAATGAGCGTAAGGTATTTGAAAACCTTCGGGGGTCAAAAATAACAAAATGAAATCGTAACGCCCAGTAACGTGCGCGGCGAGTGTGACGAATGCGTTGAGTGCTGCATGTGCGGGGTTGGTATGGGTAACGTGGGGTCGGTGACGCACGGCGTCCGCTCTAGCTCCTCCAACAGCTCGCGCTTCATCGGCGTATTGGATGATGATAATAGTAAGGGACGTTGTAAGCCGCGTGCGCACTAGTAACGCGCACGGCGAGTGTGACGCATGCAGCGAGTGCGGCACGTGCGGGGTTAGTATGGGTAACGTCGGGTCGGTAACACACGGCGCCGCTCTAGCTCCTCCACCAGCTCGTGCTTCACCGGCGCATAGGATGATGATGATATTAAATAAATATATTTCCAACACTTACACCAATTAGCCTAGCCCCAAAGTAAGCACTGTAGTGATACATATATAAATATATTTATATAGAAATATATATTAAACATCCATGGCTGGAGTACAAATGCTAGTATTCATCACACAAACATCTGCTCCCACCGGGATTCGAACCCGACCTCTCGAATAGGTGACACCTTGAACCCGGCGTACAAACCTCTCAGCCACGGAGGTCGTCAAAATAATTAAATATTATCGACAGAACAGTCAACGTCGGGAAAAGTGAGGGGCGTTGTAAGCGGCGTGGTGGCGGGCGGCACGTGCGGCGAGTGCGGCACTTGCGGCGACTGCGGCGCGTACGGCGTTGCTAGATGTAACGTGGGGTCGGTGACGCACGGCGTCCGCTCTACCTCCTCCACCAGCTCGCGCTACTCCGACGCATAGGATGGTGATGATATTATAGACAGAACAGTCACCGTCGGGCGTAGTGAGGGGCGTTGTAAGCGGCGTGGTGGCGGGCGGCGTGCGCGCCAGCAACGCGCGCGGCGAGTGCGGCACGTGCGGCGAGTGCGGCGCGTGCGGCGTTGCTAGGGGTAACGTGGGGTCGGTGACGCACGGCGTCCGCGCAACCTCCTCCACAGGCTCGCGCTTCACCGGCGTCCTGCGACAAACAAACACCATCTTAGGGCCCACTTGCAGCTAAATCTAAGATTCAACTAAAACTAGATACAACTCACAGAAAAATTTCGATTTGACAGTATTGTATGGGCTAAATCTTATTTAATTTAATTTAGGTTAATAATAAGCGCATATTAAGACTAATCGTGGTCACTAAACGAGACCACTAAGTGGCACAGTCAAGGCACATGATGCAGCCACCAATCCAATCTAGAGAAATCTAGTGGCTGCCACTAAGCTACTAGTGGCTCAATGTGCGCTTGCTCTTAGCTAAATTGCTACAAGTGGACCAGGAGGGCCAAAGGGGAAAATCTTCCATCGAGCTGGGTGATAGTAGCTCGGGGGCCGCGGCCTGACTGATGTTGGTCAGGCATTGTATTGCATATGATGAGTCAGCCTCCAAATTTCAATTGCACGATAGGCTAGGCTAGGATTTCTGTAGGCTTCCATACTTTTCGAGTGCAGCGCCAGTAACGCTATCTGCTGTTATGGAGCGTCAAGCCTTGCTTCGTTAATTATATGTGGGGCATGTACATGTCGCCGCCACACCATCATGCCGGCATGGAGTTCGAAGGTGCAAGTAGTTACAAGTGTTCAGCTACGATCCTTAAAATAAAGCAACTTTTGCAGTGGTCAGTCATTGGATGGGTGACCAAAAATTTACCATATTCTCGAGTTTGTGTGCTTCGGAAGGCACATCAAGCCGTTGGTCCCGACTGCACTCGCGTGGTGGGTCATTGCCCAATCTCCCTCAATGTGATAATAAGCTTTATCATCTATCAGTAAGTATTAAACAAAACTTACGTGAAATCGGCCGTTACAGAACTGGACGGCAGCGACTGTAGATGCGCTTTGAGCGTCTCCAACAGCGCCTTATTGTCTTCTAACAACGGATCCGAAGGTAGACTCGACGCTGAAAAGACGGAAAAAAATTAATAAAGTAAGGTTTTAATAATTCAATCGTTTAGTAAAAGGAATAATAATGTATAATTAAAAGTATATTGTACACACTATAGGCTGGCATAGACGCCCAGTCCCTCTAGTCTAGAGGGCCTAGTCTGACAGTTAATGCCGATATATCTTGGAATACTTTCTAAGGTCAGGCAATATTTTACATCTGAGCAGCTCCTTAACCTTTACCGAGCCCAAGTTCGCTCCTGCTTGGAGCACTGTTATCATCTTTGGGACGGATCTGCTCGGTATCAGCTGGATGCAGTGGACTCGGTGGAACACCGTGCGAAGAGACTCATAGGCAATGACGGTCTCGTTGAGGCTAATCTCCAGAGCCTTGACCACCGAAGACGTGTAGATTGCCTCTCGGTGTTTTATCGGTCACATTTCGGAGTGATTACATAATTTGATCCCCCCTTTCCCTTTCCACCACCGGACGACCAGGCGCGGCGAGGGCTTCCACCCATATGTTGTCGAAGTTCCTCCTATTCGCACGAAGCGTATTGCTTCAGCCTTCATTATACGAACGGCTAGGGAGTGGAACTCCTTGCCGAGGTCTGTTTACCCGGACCAATATAATCTGGACATCTTCAAGGCCAGAGTGAACAGGCATCTTCTAGGCAGGCGTGTACCATCCTAGGCCTCATCATCGCTTTCCATCAAGTGAGATTGTGGTCAAATGCATTGCCTTATTAGCATAAATAAAAAAAACGCTTTATCTATCCCGTTTCGGTGGTCATGCTAGAGGGGCAAGGACTAAAGCCTTTCAATAAGACTAAAAGAAGGTAAGGTTGAAGAGCTCGATGGTGCAGTACGTTAGCATATTCGGTCTGCGAACGTGGAAGTTAAGCAACTTTTACAATGGCCGATTATAGGATCGGTGACCAGAATTACTATTTCGATCTGCTCTGTAGTCGGTGGTCAAGTCGCATCTGCAGTCGTTAGCACCCACCAATCCACACTAGGTCTATACTACCCTTAGAGAAGGCCTGTGCCCCTGCAGTGGGGACATTAATAGGCTAATGATGAGGCAGATTGCTAAGCTATAACTGTAATAATAATGTACTATGTGTTGTTAATATAGTAAAGCCTTTAAATCTACTCTACATTGATATACATTTGTATGATGATGGTTATGTCATTAACAGTTAAGACTTGAATGTTTTTACAGAAAAATATAACACTTACTGGGTGTCGGCGAAGGTGGTCGTTCTTTGGGACAGAGGAATACTTCAATTTCACCCGTCATTGATTTTAAATGTATCATGTACCCTTTTTCATCAGGATGTGGAACCTGCAAGACGTTTGCTATATAGAAACAACAAATAAATAATGGGCAACCTTTATAAGTTCACCAAGGTACCACCAACTTGAGTTATCTAAATTAATTTGATTGGGAATCGAAGCCGAGGCGCGCGTCACGACCCGTTCGGAATTCAATACTTCATTCGTCCGTGTTTGGGTCACAGACATACATGTATGTGCCTAATTTCAACTTGATCGATCCAGTTGAGTCCGAGCAAATCGACTATGACAATAAGACAGACAACCGAGTGATCCTATAAGGGTTCCAATTTGCTGATTGAGTTTGGGAACCCTAAAAATACGAGAGAAAGACCGATTACCACTATTTTTAACGTAACAACAATATTTGTGATTGATATTCACACAAAAATAAAAGCACAATTTGTCCCTGTAAGTGGGCTACATCTGCAGATGTTAGCACCTACCAACCACACTAGGCCTGTATGGTGGGTCATGGGCCAATCTCCTGATTCCATTCATAGGGAACGCCTGTGCCCCAACAGTGAGGACATTAATAGGTTAATGATGATGGCCAACTCGATGTAACATTAAAATGTAAGAACAACTCACGCTAAGCCTAGTGTGGATGTGTGGATGACGGTCGGGTTCCTAAAGTAGGATATGGAGCAGAGATCGGCGTAGGTTATGTCCGCGGACGCCGTGCTCGCCCAACCGTCGCGAACGGAGACTCGGTCATATATATTATTATTTATAATAAAGGAATTTTAGCAAAACTCACGCTAAGCCTAGTGTCAGGTGGCGCCTTGATGGGTATGACGGTCTGGTTCCTGAAGTATGATATGGAGCGGAGATCGGCGTAGGTTATATAGGCGCGGGCGCCGTGCTCGCCCGACAGTCGGGAGAGCGCGGTCTCTGCCACTTGCACAGCTCTCGTCACCCGTTTCTCGTGGGCCGCTAATACCCGCACTTCCCGACGAAGTCTCTGCGCTCGCCACTCGTCCATCTCCCCCCGACCCGAGCCCAGGCCCGCTGCACCACCCACACCTGACACAAGCTAGCGCTACACATCTATATAATTATACGTATTTCTAACGCCATCTAATAATAAATTTAATAGATTCACCGATCTGATATATCCGTAAACATAAAGAATGGACTGAGCACCTTGCCTCTCGCCTCTCGCTTTCCTGCAATTTGTGGGAGTGATTTCGTGAAATGGGACGGAAGTGTGTAACAAGAAGTCGCGAAAGCGCGCGCTATTTGATTTGATTTTAGAACATACGAGGGGAGGTCAAAAAGTTCGCGGAATAAGAGGGAAGGAGGTTGAAATTAAACATCAAATTTTCCTTTTCAATATATTCTCCCTTAACCCTAATACATTTTTCAGATTTCTCAAATAACTTGTTTATACCATCGAAAAAAATGATTTGTCTTTGGTGTCAAAATAGGCCGACATTGCGGACTTCACTTGTTCATCGTCATCATTTTTTTTTCCACGCAGCTCTATCTTCATTTTTGGAAATAAATAATAGTCACTGGGTGCCAAGTCCAGACTGTAGGGTGGGTGGTCCAATTGTTCGAAGCGGCATCGGTGAATGGCAGCCGTCGCAACATGGCACGTGTGAACGGGTGCGTGTCGTGCAGAAGGAGCACACCTTTTGACAGCTTTCCTCTTCATTTTCCTTGATGGCTTCTTTCAATCTTTCTAGTAAAGTAGCGTAGTACTGTCCCGTTATAGTCACACCACGTTCTTTATAATCGATTTATAAAATATCTTCTGTATCCCAAAAGCAGTTGCGACATCTTGCCAGCCGATTGTGTCACTTTGAACTTCTTTGGAGGAGGTGCGCTTTTTTTATGCCACTGCATCGACTCTTGCTTTGACTCAGGTTCATAGTGGTGAACCCAGGTTTCATCACCAGTAATGATTCGGGCCATAACTTCTTCCTTTCTCTCTCCACAGAGCTCCAAAAACTGGCGAGAAGACTCGACACGCTCGCGTATTTGAAGTGGAGTGAGCATTCTCGGAACCCATCTTGCATTGACCTTAGTCATCCCAAGATGATGATGTAGAATATTCAAAATACTTATTTCGCATACTCCAATCATTGCTGCAAGCTGCTTCTTCAACCGGGCATCTTCCAATACAATTTTTTCTGCTTTTTCGACGATTTCCGGTGTGGTGGCCTCAATTGGCCGAACGGAGCGGGGGTCATCTTCAATGGACTCTCTCCCTTGTTTGAAAAGACCATGCCACTTGTAAACCATGGTTTTACCATGAGCAGAGTCAGCGTAAACCACCAACACCTCTTAAAAAAATATCTGAGCGGATTTTCCTTGCTTGGTAAGGAACTTAATAACGGCGCGGTGTTAAATTTTCTCCATACTGGCTGACTTTTTCCCGATTCAGTTGTTTGCAGGTCGAAAACTCAAATGTTAATGACCCGATTAGGTTCAAACCTGGTATATATACTCTTAATGAGGTGCTCAACTAGTGCCTACTTGGACAAGTTAACCTACCCCCACCAACACCTCCATTCCGCGAACTTATTGATCTCCCCTCGTAATGTTCAAATGGCTTATTCCTTTTGTAGTAGGTTTTATTTCTTTTTTTACTAATATAAGGTGAGGTTTCAAATGTTACTTATCATACGCTACTACTATAAGGCTCGCTCGTTTTTTTTTATTCATATAAAGGCTGAAATGACGACAAATGACAGGCGCGAAGATAGCTGGTGCAGCAGTTTTACCTGCCGCACCAGCCATCCTCACCTTGCCGGCCTAATTGCGTCTGCAGATCTCAGCTCTTAAAAGACCCTGGGTGTATTAGGGAGGGGGACGCGTAAGCGGGCAAAGCTAAATGCTTTAATGATAACTTTCTGAAAGACATTAAACAACCAATATTTATACAAACTATGGCCCGCCCTATCAGCTTTCATACACACACATACACATTAACTACTCAGTTAACTTCACAGTAAAGTTGGTAAGGGAACGCGCAGTCCATTCTCTGTGTCCATGGATATACCTTAGCAGTTGAGAACAATTATCTTAAAGTATTACAACTTTTAGTTACAAGTAGATAAATTAACTTATCAGAAATGTCTATATGACATTTCTGATTCCACAAAATGTGAACTGTGCTATTTTAAGTTTAGCAAAAATATTGATGCCTATTTTAAAATGATAAATAAAAAATCTTTGAATAACTAATAAATCGAGTAGTAAACTTACCATATTTCCATTGTATGTTATTTTTTGATCTTTTTTCTAATATGCCTATACCCTCTAAAACATTAGTAATGTCGTAAATACGACGTTTTTGAACCGACAGGTGCTCCGCCGCTATGTTCAAGTCGAGCACGCCATTAGACGACGACTTGAGTAGGTCGACAAATTTTTTCGTAAGTAAGCCTAATGATGTGTCAAACCTGAAACAAAGATAAACATAAGGACCTAAAATTAGGTTGTCACAATATTCTGCAAGTTACTCAAATTATTCTGACACTAGATTTGAAGTGGTACTAGAGACAAAAAATGTTACTTATATGGGTGAAAAGAACTATTGACTTCACACAGAAGCAACAATATTGATCAGTCATTGTTCAAGCTAGAATTCCTAGGAATGTATATTTAAATTTATTAATTATAGGTATTACATAATATGTAATTATGTGTGCCAATCAGGTGAGCAGTTAACGAACTACAAATCCCAATCTCGGGATCAAAACTCACTTTTGTGATTAATTTATATGTTTGTCAATGGAAACACCCATGTTTTCCCGTCATCTAGTCGCTATTGAGATTAATTAAATTTTCCTTTGTATACAGCTTTCTATCCTCAACATAAATATTACTAAAGCTCGTCGTGATTATCCCTACAAAAGTGAAGCTTAGCATAATAATGTTATTAAGCTGCTATTATAATCCCTATTAAGCATCGTTGCCTTATTTTGTAAGTCCAAAATATAAACGGGTTAAAAAAATGATATCTGCTACGCGTATTTACATGTATGTAATTCAGAATCTTCTGACGTACAATTTATCAACTCAAAATGCTTAAAGATATATTTATTTTGTAATAATAAGCGCGTATGATTGTATTATCAAATGAACCATTTGCTCGATTTGATAGATTAACTAAAACTATGTGAACTATACAGATTTTTTTATTTAACGTGCTGAAATGAGAGAATTAATTACCTTTCATCAAGAAATGTACCTGGAACGTTCGGTGTATTTTTTATTCATGGAACTGGACGGTCGGCTGTAGGGGACGAGCACTTTGACTCGTTTCTGCTTGGGCGTCTTGAAGTCGGCCTTCATGGGCACCACGTGCCCCTGGCTGCCCGAACTACTCTCACTCAGGTTCAGTCTTCTTTTCACCGCCTGCGCAACAAAATATAGGTTTTATAAAGTATTGTGGGTTACCTACAATGCGTAGAGATGGCGCTGCCTAGCCTAAGAGATACTAGAAGAAATTCATCACGGCCATTAAGGTCGCGTTAGTATAATTGGCCAGTGCATCCACCCGGATAGCGAGTGCGAGTTCGAGTTCCGCCTGCTTCCTGGACCGCGTGGAATTTTCTTTAAAATATAGGTATTCAAATTTTGTAGAATATGCTAATAAGTATGTTTCTACTTAAATCACGCAAAAACGGCCGAACGGAATTTGCATCTAAAAATCGGCACACAATTTATCAGGTACATGTATGTAGCTTTGCTCTACATCTTCTATCGCATTTATCGGGAAGTGTTCCGAGGAATTAATACCTGCTGCTGCTGCTTTTCGCTGTCGTACATCGCGACAAAAACTTCATCCCCACCATCTTGAAGCGTGGCTATCCACAACCTTGCGATTTTGTCGCAAAAAACTACACGAATACGGGCGTACTCGACTCTTTTCATTTACACTTAGTCGTTTACCCGAATTCACTCGTATTCAGGCTAACGACCAAGTATAATCTTTTAAAAAAGCAAATTTAATGTAATTGTAAACAATATTTTTTTATTCGAATTTTAATATACAAACTGACAAACAGTTAACATATACAGTGTAAATTCCATGTAACGTCACTCGATTTAACAACAAACTCCCTAAAGCGTGGAAATCACTCGCCTTTGGTTGGTTTAGTTTATTTTCCATACAATGATACACTACAAATAGCATTACACCCACTCTCAATAACGACAACAATTAAGGAATAAAAAGTACCTTTTAAGTTGCCAAAATTAGTGAAAATCGCGCAGCTGTGTACGTTCTTCTGCCGCTTCATTAAACTAGCCCGTAATAAAATCGACTGCCCGGCATCATGCAAACCAAACTTTCTAAGAAATTCTTTCTTTTGTTTACAAATTGGGATTGCACGTGCAGACTGTTGTTGACCAGGACTAAAAAATATGTAATACAACAAAATTACTGGTGCAGCAAAAGACGTCAGACAAAAATAACAGAATACACGCAATAGCGTTTCAAATAGATTATTTTTTATGTACATAACTACTAGCTTGAAATAAACTTTTTCTTTTCATAATTCTAATTTTTCTTTTTTCCATTTAATGACAAGTCTCTATAACGCCATAAAATGTACAGTCCCTTTAGTGTCGTTATATATATATATATATTTAATAAGTACCTTATATACATGATAACCGTTTGTCAGTCTGTCTACGTTTATTCTCTAGGTCTTATGATCAAACATAACAAATGAGCAGCTAAAAGAGAGCATTTCAATGAATTTACAATCTTCAGACGCCTTATCACAACATTTTGAGTTTGAAAGAAATGTTTTCCTAAAAAACGTAGACATAGAAACTCGATATAATTATATACTTCCGGTCTATCGGCCCAATTAGTTTTACAAGTTTCAACGGTGTACCAAAAATATATGTTTATCGTTGTGCAGCTAGGGACCGTCATAACTTAAAATGCTGGGTGGATCGATAGATGTGTCCGGAAGCGTATTTTATTTGAGAATTTAACTGCTATATTTTGAAATCTGCCGAAAGCTACTTTAAGTAAAAAAAAAAATAACCTAAAGAAAATTTCACTAGAAAAAAAACGACTCGGCCCAGATTTCAGATGGAATCGAACCAGCATTTTCCGCTATCCAGGCTGCTATCGATCGAGTCTGAAAATTACTAAAAAGACGTTAAAACTCTCTAGAAAAATGAGAGTGGACTTTTTTTACTAAAACTTGTCTAGATTTAGACATGTAGCAATTAAATGTATAAAAATAATAACCTAAATAAAATTTCTTATTCTTAAAACGATTACGATTAAACGAATGTCTACGCTCTTTGAGCATACTAGCACTGAACTAACAAAGCCGGTAAAATTAACACTAAAACAGTCATTAGTGAATTTTATAAACTAATAAATTCTAACATAAGCCTTAGTATTTATTCTTTTACCATTATATAAATCTGTATTGAATCAATATTACTTAGATAGAAGATTTTTACCAGAGATTATTTGTCTCGGTTACTGTTTTATTCCTTCTGCTATTTTGACGACCTCCGTGGCAGAGTGGTTTGTACGCCGGGTTTTATGGTGTCGCCGACTCGAGAGGTCCCGGGTTCGAATCCCGGTGGGGGCAGATGTTTGTGTGATGAATACGAGCATTTGTACTCCAGTCATGGATGTTTAATATGTATTTCTATATAAATATACTTATATATGTACAGTATATGTATTCTATCCATTACCCTAGCATCCCATAACACAAGCCTTAAAGTGCTTGCTTTGGGGCTAGGCTAATTGGTGTGAGTGTTGGAAATATTTATTTATTTATTCCTTTTATTTCATAGTTGATAAGCAATGTCACCTTAAACACTTTTCTTAAGCTTTCTTAAACTTTAAAGGCGATCACGCAAAGTTAAAGTCAAGACAGACTATGAGCCCACGGCTTTCGAGTGATGGACATCCTATACAATACAATCTTATTAAGCAAGAACCTTCATCGGAAAGTTGTTTTGCTAAAATGAATAGCGGTAGGCCTACACTTCAATCAAACCAACCTCGATCAATCCATATTCGAATATTCAACTCTTCGCATTGATGTTTGTAGAGGCGGAGCGATTTTTCCATTTAAAATCAGTTCAGAAACGTTGTGAAAACTCACCAACACTGCAGTTTATTGGAAGATAGCATATATTTAATATTATATATGATTTGTTGAGACGATCGCGATCCAAGAAATCAAGAGTTTTAAGTTGTGTGGCATTGTGTGTGGCAAATGACATTTTAGCTAGTATCGACTAAAGCTAAGTAGTTATGTTATTGGATTGTATTATGACTGTGACTTTCTTGTGTGACACAGTTTTCCATCCTTGTCTTTTGTAAGAAATTGTGTTGTGTGATAAAGAAAGCATTCAAATAACTTGTTTCCATGAACAGAGTAGTCATAATATATTCTGTCAACAACATTCTTATTATGCACAAGCCTCCAATTTATAGCCAAACTAGTGGCCCTCTTGGTTCGCTTTGGAATAGTCAGACTGTGCAGTTAATGCATATATTAAAATTTCGTAAATATATATTCAGATTTCAAGGTGTTATTTGTTCCACTTTGTACTGGCATCGAGATTGATGGCTTTTGATCAGCATGTCCTGTTCTACTACACTACGTTGGCAACAATGCCTTGATTACATAAGTTTAAGTTGATTCATAAAAAAGTCAATTTCATAGGTAAAGACCTAATAGTTAGCGTTTTGATCAAACTAAATAAAGTAATTCTATTCCAGAAGATGTAGAGTTAGCAGTCGTGTGATAACGGTCACGAAATGTCGGATAAAATTCACAAGCAATTAATGAATAAGGCCTGGATTACCAGTTAAACGTTCATCAAACTTTGATTGGTTTTGGTTTCTCTTATAATGTTTTTATATAATACTAGTTATGATTTTCAAGTCGAACAAATATTGAAGTTGATGAAATCTTTTGACACGCTATTGATTTGTATTGAATCAAATGCGTTTCTTCTGAACGTTAATAAGTAGCTAGTGTTTCTTCGCTACTTGTTCAATTCTGTTTTAAAAATAATTGTGTAAACTTATGAAAAACTAGACCAGGCACCTGAAGAGACTGAGAAGACTTACAAATAATACAATAGATAAATTAATATCAAGTATTTTATCATACATAAAAAGTTTATATCGAGAAAATCAAATTCCGATTTAAAAAATAACTCGCGCAATACTTCTAAATTATAGACAGGACCAGGTAGAAGATTCGACGGATTTTGTTTACCTGGGTGGGATGCAGATGAAACCATATAAATGTTTCACAACAAAAAAAAACTAAAGAATCTCAACAACTTCTTCCAGGAAGCTTTGTATGTTATAGATTAGTAGTTTTCATATACATTGCAGTCCATTAGTTACCGTAGTTAATAGAATAATCTTGTGTATAGGTAAAATTGCAAATATAAAGATATACCTACATAATGATATTTGTACACAACGCAGCTTGTTCTACTCAAATTCTTCACTTTCCAAATATTAATTTAAAAATATAAATTGAAGCATACCTTTAAAAAATTATAGTATTGAATGATGCAAGAACAGAACCAGGACACAGTTATCAGATTATCACCTGATTGTATTATACCTAAGCAAATATGTAGCAAAAATACTACAAGAGAAGGGTGCTATTAAAAATAATTCATCAATTGTACCCATGCTCATGGATGGGTGATAAAACTGTACACTCACTCGCAACCGCAACACTGTGTAAGTCATTGTTTAACTCTTCTGTAACACCTTGCCACACTAACGAGTAAATCGTACAAAACCAAAACCGAACACAAGTAATACCATAATGAACTGAACAATAATTATAACACACACAACTAAACCAATTTTTAATTATTTAGCGCCATATTAAAGTTAATTTAGACACAACCTAAAAGATGCACGAGGTGTTTTCAATCAAGTCACTGCAACAGATTCAATTTCTACATCCAGAGTGGGTCCAAAGCCACTAAAGGAAGTGTGTGGGGAGGGTACCCGGTACCAACAATACATGACATAAATTAGAATCAACACAAAAGCCGCTCAACTCTCGGAAGGGACCTTTAGCAAAAGAATGGCAATTTCTTATCTTAAAGTTTGTGATATTATTATTGTAAAACTTCCATACTATTGTTGATTTGCGGGGTTGTGGGTCGCGTCTTTGTGCGCATGTGTAACCCCGAGCGTTGACTAAATTAGAGCAGATGTTCCTTTAATTTAACGTATAAACTGATAAAACGTCACACATATCCCTGACGCCGTTGTATGCTTTATGATGACAGCAAGGGATACGCGCTCTACATAATCAATTTATCCCTTCCGTGATTCGTTACCAGGGATCGAATAAAATGCATCTAGAAACGGAACAATGGGATGCACTATAATTTAAAGTTCTTTGAATTGACGATAATTTAACCAAAGAAATGGGTATTGATATGATAATGGTGCAGATTCAATTATAACGTATATTTATGCGTTATTGTAAAAGGGAATAGAAACTAAGACAGTGGACAGGAAGTGAGTACCTGGCCCGTGACCCCACGGGCGGCGATTGTGCCACATGTCGACAGCCGGCACCCCGCGGTTGGGCGGCATCGGCACTGGTGGCGCAAACGCCTAACACATGCGGCTAAGTGTGCGCTACACTTGCTGGTTTTGCTATTTTAAGCTAACGTAAAACAAGATTATAAGGTTAAACACAGCTGGCGAGAAAACACAATAAAATAAATTGTCTTGAAAATTTATTTCTGAAGACATCTCTTTACTGGAAATATATATCAACTCTGTCCAGGTATCAAGCTTGAATCGTTTGTTGTTTTTCTACAAGGGCCTTGTTGTGTTGCGTTACTAGGAAACAAGCAACTTAAAGAAGAAAACTGTGAAATAAATAACGCTAACTTAGTGATGATGTGCTGGAGGGGATACCTTTTCCGGCTTGAGGTCTCCTAAGGATCTCTCATAACGTCATCAAGCGACCAACAGGAAACACACTCCCAAATAGATATATTGATTAAATCCTTTGTTTTCGCTGATGTTTTCAGACGACAGAGTGACTGAGATAGGGTTCGGTTTTTACCCTTATGGTACGGAACCTTAAAAACGATGAAGTTGATATTAAGTCAGCAGCTGTGTTAAAAATTTCAAGCAGAACAACATTCAGCCGATCTAATCCAACTATTACTTGGCTTCCCAAATAAATCAAGACACTAAAGACTACAGATATATCATGTTGTGTAACATCCAGAATATATATTTTGCAAGTCACATACACATAGACGGTTTACAATTTACATATTCACACGTTTTTAGACATAGACAAAAAAATATGTTAATAAACGAATACAATTATAATATATGCTACCCTGTACGGGAATCGCAACAATTATAAATCACTAGCTAATATACAATCAATCAAAAATCAATATTATCGTATTTTATTTTTAGCTATCAACACAGGAGGCTCCACTTACTATATACAGACATACCCATTCATCATTATTGCTAGAAGTCATATTATCTATACAGACTACAGTACAAATATTGGCCATATTTGTATTATTACAAAAAATGAACATAACATTTCGTAATGAATATTCACTCTTCTTTCACGCCATTGTTTATTAATCTTTAAATTTTAAAACTCTTTATCCAGCTATTTGCTTGGTACTAGCCGATTTTTTGTAAAGCACTATTGATGGAATTTGATAAGTCTTCACCCCACCCTACCTCTGTTTGTAAAAAAAATATCTCTCCACCCCCCGGGACAAAATACGTATTCGTACTAGAGGTGATAGTAGCACTGAAAGAAAGAATTTGAAAAAACCCTGTCTGTAACAGGAGCTCGAAGAGGCCGTTATTGAGAAATGGGCCAGTATCCCACAAGAAGAGCTAACACTAGATTTTAGGTTAGTTTTAAGAACCTACATATTTGTATTTTTTGTGTAAATAATATTATGTTTTTAATTAAGGTTTTTATTGTTTTGTAAACTTTATTGTTTTTTGCACTGTTCCATTAAAAAAAATGAATTGTTTTTTTAAGATTATTTAATGGGCTTTCAATTGTCACCAATATTGGTGGGGGTAAATGAGTGTGTTAAGGGTTATAATAACGCTTGAAAGTTATTTTCGCGGAGGTGCGATTTTTTTGACGCCGAGTGTATTTCGTATACTACAAAATAAGGCTCCCTCATTCCTAAATCAATAAGGTGGAAATGTCAAGCGATATGTGAAAAGGAAGTCATACTTAATTTTATTTACTAACGAAAAACCAATAAAATCGTGCAACATTTTAATAACCAGAAAGAGCAAATTTATGCTCACAACTCTGGAGCAATTTCTCATTTGTCAGTAACTTGGCGTGGGCATTATTCAGCGTTATGGTTTGGTAGAATGTTAACTATCAAGGCAAGGCAAGAAGTTACTGAGCCAAGTAAAAAAGGTTTCAAGACCTCATCAGCCCTTGTGTATAAAGTGATTTTAAGAAATCTTACTCCTCCTATCCTACTTTCCTATAAATCTGCAAGTTTGTATGTGTATTACTCAATCACGAAAAAACGGCTGCACGTATTTAGATGAAATATGACACACATACAGTTTATTTCCTAGATTGAGAGTCTCAATCTAAGATATGAACACTAATTATCCCGGAAAAACGTTAGTCTGTGGGATTCCCAAAAAACTTACTATATAACGCGGACGCGACGAGGTCGCGGGCGGAAGCTAGTTGGGTCAGTCATAACGGATTGTCCTCTCGAATTAAAGCGCCAATCTGGAAAAGTAATCTCCACCTTACAGAAGACTACAGTACCTAAATACTACAGTTTGGTGTCGTGTTTGTATCAGTGAGTAGGGTTCCATGGTTCCTCGGGATAATGGATAGAGTCAGGGTAGGGAGCTACTTGAAGGTTCACGTAACCATTCGTTCTCCGCCGTGTCTGACGCGCTTTAATTTTTTCCTATTTTCTACCGCCTCGTACGTATTTCGTATTTTTCAGAGACTAAACCTACTAAACGAGTGAATCTCGAAGTCCACCGAAGATTGAAGAAGTTCGCGATCTTACGCGAAGTTAACTTGCAACCCCATAAAATAATTGCTGTTTCAAAGTTGTTCACTCAAAATTACACAATCTACATTTAGTAAATGCCAAGCGTTAATAAATTTTAATAGCCACCTAGATTCCACATGGAATTCAATTATTATCAGTAAATCCAAATAGATGTAAGTACTATCTCTATTTATCAACGCTCCCTCTTCAAGTGCCGATATTTTTTTTTCTACTTCGTCCTAAAACTATATATTTGTTCCTAATAGATTTAGGTGTTGTGTATTTACGCGAAATAATAAGGAATGTATACCTTATATCAATGCCAGATGGGTATCAATGATATAATATAAGAAATATCATTCTGATGGGTTAATATCGTTTAAAAAATCGGGAGCGTATAACTTACTGCACACGAACGACAAAACCAAGTATTTTATCGATTACGCACATCCAAGTAGACCCCAAAACTAACGCACACCCCATGCGAAAATGAAAGGGGCGTGCACTGCGAAACCCACGGTGGCTTTTGTCTATTGAGGTCTAATGCAAAAAGGTTTTAAGACAAAATGAAATAACAAGAACAGTCTCTGAAATAAATGTTCATTAATAGTTAGTTAATCCACTCCCCTGGAATAATAACAAAACTCAACTAAAGTTCTTCAAATTGTTTTTTTTTTTCATATAACTAAGTTTCAATACTATAAAGTATCTTAATAAAGTAATATTGCAATGGCATTACTAAATGATCATTATCATCAGCCTATTTAGTCCCCCACTAGCAAACAGACCTTCCTCATAGATAGACAAAATCAATTAAAGTACAAAATAATGCAATTAATTACAATAAGTGTGTGATTACAACAAATTATAAATGTATTATTAATTACTTCATAAATATATCAAGCAAGTTACAAGTGATCTTCATTTATAGTAATATTAAAAAATAAAATCATTTAAGTTTTGAGAAGAAACATAAAAAACATTTATTCTGTCAAGTGTGGGTATGTTCTTTGGCAAAAGAAAGTTTAAACTAGAGCACAAATCTAATAACAAAAAATAAGTAAGATCTTATCAAATTATGAACTTAACCTCTGGGTTAAAAGCATGATCTATAAAAATGTGATTATCTGACTAATCATAACTCTCCAATTTAACAGTACTTTTGTCAAAAAATAACATTGTAATAATAGTATAATAATATTATAATAATCATTTAATTATGAAATATTATACAATGAAGTGAAATATTTTTTATAATATAGACTTCAACAGAAAAAAATCAACATGAAAGCTTCACTAAAAACTCCGCTTGAAGTTCAATGAACTTTAATGGGGTCTGTGATCTCAATACTTCCCTACACATCAAGATCTGATTAAAATTTAAGTTCATTTATGCATCTAATATTGTAATGAAGTATGAAACAAACAGTACCCCCCCCCCCCCCCTCCTCCCACTTTGCACATTATTTCATTTTAACTTCAAAATTTAAAATATGGATATCTGATGACTGTTTTTAAATGATAAAATAGAACAGGATAAAAATATTTGATCAAGTATTATGAAATATTTCTTAAATTTGATATTTAATTGTGATATCATATTTTCAAATCTTCCGAATCACCTAATTTATAACGTATACCTGATTATTTTTAATGTTTATAACAAAATCAAGATCAGACAACAAACCCTATACATAACTCAGAATTCATCAGTTACCAATGAATTAATTCTATTGTGATTACAATAATAAGTTTCTCATCCAAAATCTTCAAATGGCAATCACTCTAAGTTGTATTATTTTAATTGTAATATTTCAACATCAAAGGTATAATAACTCTCATTTACTTCTCTAGCCCTATTTAAGATCGACATGATCAATGACAAAATTTACAGGCACAGAATACCAAATTGAAATTCTATCTGAGAAAATTTATGAAGGCAAAAGCTAATACAAACATAGTAATGAAACTTTATGGTACTAATTAAAATTGCAGAAGTTATACAATTGAAATCAGAAATTAAGAAAATATATAGATCCCCATTTACTTTAACGGAGTGATACACTTTACTTTGCCTGAATAGAATAAAATAATTCCAATATGACTTACTTCTGACGTCTTCGGCGGTGCGGATGGCGCCTCTCTTCTAATCTGGTGTTGTGGTGTGGCTCCATAACCGTGGTCCAGCAGATGATAGCTAATAGGCTGACTGGGGCTGTCATCCAGCAGCTTGGTGTGTGACGGAGACGCCCCAGCGCGCACCACCACCTCTGCCTCGCCCTCCACCGGACCTCGCTTCACCCCCCTCGGCATCGCTGCTCAACAATACACATAGCAAAAATTAAAACAATAATTCTAAATATTCACAGCCAATAGTAGTAATGGCTACAATTTAATTAGTGAAGAGGTTAGGGGCGCCGCGCGCGCGGAATCGTTGACAAGAAGCCTCCGAAGCAGTATGGGTCGATAACACGTATCATAATATTTTATGCAATAGTTAAGTTTACAATGTAACCTATAATGACCCAGCACAGCTTACGTCATTTTTTTCAACGACATTAACCAAAAATATCGACAATCTAGCGGTAATTCCAGGACATAACCACTTTTCAAGATATTCAATTGACACAGTGATTTTGCATATTATATTAAATACGATGGTAATGTAATACTTACGAAAGGTGTAAGCGAACGATATGCGAATTTATAACCATAAAACGACATTAATGTTTTCGACGCAAACGCTACATTATCGAGTACTCAAAATAAAATGTCCGCCGCTTTGTTGGTCCTCCCGAGTGAACTCGTGGACATTGAAACGCTCGATAATTTTTAGTTACAACGCACGATTTAAACAGCACACATGTTATTTTATTCACTGACTATTTCACTAGATAAACAAAATAATAAAATGGTCCTACTGTACATTTTACAATAACTAATTAGATAAAATGCAGAGCAAACGTTAGAACGGCGACGGAAGCTTTTCAGAACATCTGGCTTGGAAGCGACGTAGCTGTGGCGCGAACTACGTGCGCAAGCGCGAAGCGACCTAGCAATCAACCCCTAGCGGACGCTGCTCTCCAAATCCGCCCCTCGTTCAAGAAGCCATAAAAAATATTATAACGAATTTTTGAATTTTCGTTGGACCGGTTTTGATAGCGAAGGTGCGACATTATTTTCGTTGGGTAGCAAAGATTTTACGGCAGCCGGCAGCCATCTAAAATTCTCAAAGATTTACGATTATCTATTGGATTTTTTTGTAATCAAATAATATCTTATTATACAATTAACAAGTAAAACTTAACCATTAACTTTTGTACTTCTAATGATGAGTAGGTATTAGTAATTCTAACAATTAACTGATGATCACTATTAGTGGAAGGATATCGCTAGGACAGATATGTCCCGCAATAAACGTCCCTCGACTGATGATGATGAATGTTTATTTATAGGTTTAAGCTTACTTAGCTTAATACATATAAAAAAATATAATTGTTGGTAGCTCAGTGTTTTCAGTTTTCATGTTAATTTCGCATTTATTCATGCCACTTATGTATTAAATTTGTTTGACTTTATAAGATTTAAATACATACTAATATTAAACGCGTGACCGTCTGTCACCTCTTCACGCTTAAAACACTTAACTGATTCAGATAAAATTTTATAGAGATAGTTCAAGCCCCGGGAAAGGACATAGTATAGTTTTTATCTTAGAAATCTTCCTTTAAGGGGCTGAAAAGGGCAAGACACCGACTACCCTTATCCTTACTAATATTATTAATGCGAAAGTGTGTCCGTTTCTCACCTCTTCACGCTTAAACCATTGAACCGATTTTAATGCAATACCAAATTGCATACAGATGTTCAGGGAAGGGACATAGGATACTGTTTATCCAAGAATTTACCCTTGAAGCCCCCTTCAAAAAAAAGGGGGCTAGAAGTTTGTATGGGAAAAATATTCGTCATGTCTGTTACCTCTTCACGCTTAAACCACTGAACCAATTGAGATAAAAAAATTGCAGTGATTGTTGGCATCCCGAGGAAGAACATAGAATAGTTTTTATCCCAGAAATCATCATTGAAGGGGTTGAAAGGGCGCTAGAGGTTTTTATCCCAGAAATCATCCTCTAAGAGGGCGGAAGAGTATGGGAAACCAATTTTCTCATGTAAACGGAGTCGGGGACACCGTCAGATTAAATAACAAAATTTATTCCGTAATCTGGAAGGAAAGTATCTTCTTTCTGTAAGTACTTGCACAATTTTATGTGCGGCCTATTTTTTACATTTTATTTAGGACTCATCTCATGTTAATGTCCAATCAAAAACATCACAAAGCACTTGTATTTTTCTAAACGTATATTATTCGGTACATTCTTTTTTATTCCTCGAATTTGGGTTTGCTAGTGCCCATATCTAAATATTGCAAATGATTGCTCTACATGTATGAGTATTAAAAAAACATTTGAATAACAATCAATTTATTAGATATGCATACCGTTAACAAAATAAAAACCCAATGCAATCATGCATCTGTTTTGGATCCTTACATTTTTATCTTTTACCGATTTTGTACTAGGTCACGAAAGGAAACGGAACCGTCTAAAACCGCGAAAATTTTATATTTATATTGTCTATGACAATGTTTTTGTTTCTGATTTTTACACATCCTTTATCTATGGATTTTTATTGATTTTGCCTATGGTCTTTTTTCGCTTTTGTATTAGAGCGGCAGTATACATGACGTTTTATGTTACACAGTGCGACCAAGATCTTGTGGCGCGTGATCGAAATCGGATCTAATTTTTATAAGCCTTTTATTTATAGAGGAGGATGTAATTAAGCCTTTTAAATATTCTGTTATTGGTAGTGGTCCATGAAATTATATATCTATGTGGAGCGAGCACTTAGTATATAATACAACAGAAAAGTATAGATAATCTTATTGACACTAGTAGGGTATTATATCCTTCTCTTATCATACTTATAACCTACTCACATTTTTTTAATAGCAATTGACATAGCGAGGATACAAGTCCATTAAGCCGAACACATAGTACAAATATAAACTTAATTAAAATACAAACGTGAGATGCGTGAAACAGATTACTGACAACATAAATACCTATTCACATTTTATGTAAAGTTGCCATTCTAAATTGAAAGAGTCCCAAATAAAGAGATTGATGGACGAAAATAAAGCATAGCAATAATCATTATTTATTTTATTTTTTTGAATAATTTTATTTAAGCGTTATAAATATTATAAACTCCTTATGAAAACAAGCAGAAATGTAAATAAACATAAAACTTATTTGTTTCTTAGGTTTTCACGCACATCACTCATTAAATAAAACTAGTTTAAACGGGATAATGCACGAAACTTTATTTATTTATTGACGTTTCGTGGCCTTTACAGGCTTCGTCGTCAGAATAAAACTTTTTGCCTAATAAAGCCTGTAAAGGCTACGAAACGTCAATAAATAAATAAAGTTTCGTGCATTATCCCGTTTAAACTAGTTTTATTTAAACATAAAACTGTTTATTCCACTCATCCCTAAATTACAGGTGCAATAATTTTAATAAAATGTTAACACTGACGAGTCAGTGATAACATTGTCATTTTTGAAGTCAAGTAGTTTTCACCACCTCGAAGTTTAGTGGACTAAAAGGAAGGGTTTTTGTTGATTTTAACAATGTATGGCATTCAACGAAATTGCAGAGGTATTTCGAAACCTTTTGCTCTCTTTCTCCGAAACGAAAATCATGCCAGACTCGACACTATTATTAATTTATATTTTTTTTATAATAGGTAAGCAGAAAAACAAAATATGCTCTAATTTAATTAGTATTTACCAATAAGTATATTCAGGAAAATTATATTTTTGTGTTTTGGCGAAATGATGGACATAGGATTTCGAAATAAATTCTAAACACAGTACATACGTGATAGGAAGCCGGGACTTCTCAAGTAGTTATTAGTAGTAGTATGTTAAGTGGTGATAGAGTCCAGACGCGAAGATAGCTGTTACAGCAGTTATAAACTGCCACACCAACCATCCTGACGCAAGGTGGCACCTTGCCAGCCTGCAGAAATGCTTCTTCATGGCTCTTGAGCCAGAAACATATTAACGGGTCGTGTCATGTCGTGTCGTGGTGCGCCAGAAGCAGATCGGTTTCATATATTACTATAGTTAGGGACATATTTACGTATCGTGTCGTATCCATTCTTTTATCTCTCTCTCTAACCCATAATAATAGTATGAAGCCAATGTGTCACGATACGCCTCAACACGTTAATATGTTTCTGGCCTTACAGTACCGTGCAGAAGCAGTTCCTCAGGTAAATCTGCAGCTATCACGTAAGTAAATCAAATTACCTAAACAAGCATTTAGACAAATCGTGAGGATACGCACAAGAATATTTTATTTTATTCTATCTTGAATGCTTACCTCACCCTCAAAAGCGTTCTGAAGAGTAAAGCTAAATTAGTGCAAGCTGTCTCTTTCTATTAGTGTGTCCAAACAGTAACAAAAGTAATGAGATAATCATTTTTTCTGGATGTTCCTTCACCGAATATCAAGTGGTGAATAAGTAAATAACATTCATGACAAATCGTGATTTTTGAGAAAAAGGTGTTTTTATAGTTTTACGAATGAAAAGTGTTGCCGTGGAATTTGTTTTTTATATCTTGAACTTGTGTTCTTTATAAAAGCATCGTAGGCATTATTTTATCTTTATAACACAGAATATCAGACATTTGAGTGACAGGAACAAAACACGGCGTAAGTAGTCTAAGCTTATTCCTTGTTTATTAAAAGTTTATGTTATGTTTGTGCAAATTAGAATTTCGAGGGTATTGTTAGAATCCTTTCACATCGCATTGCTTTTCATTTTCGCGAATGACAATGGTGTCGATTCTCTAAACTTAACTTTTATAATCAATCTCTCCTTTTTATTCTGTATAGAGAATGACAAGGATAATGACTTGTACTTGGGTCTGATGATAAGGTTCCAATTTGTTAGTCGCATCGGCTTAAATTTTATTATATCTTTATAGTCTTTTATTACGTGACAATAAGGCTGTGTCCCCAGTAAGCAAACTGTCAGCGGCCGACTGAGTTAGCGGCGTATCGGTTTAGTACGCCCTTCCATATATTTCAAATGGAGTGTTCACAGTTTGCTAGTTTTGCGCTCACTGTACGCAGTTTGCAGCGTTACGCGCGCCGACTATCTTAGTGAGCGGCCGACTCCCACCAAAACCGGTTCCAGTCGGCGGCGGCGATTGGTTGTTCGCCGGGCGTAGTGACTCAAACTGATTATTCGGATAGTTGGAAAAAAGCTATCATCGTGTTAGGACGTGTTTTTTTGCATCGCACCTAACTAATCTCAACGCACACACACATCACTGAAAATCCAAGATGTCCTTTGATACGGAAAGGTTCATTAGTGAAATACAGAATAGACCATGCATATGGAACATGTCGAGTGAAGAATACAGCAACAGAGTATTAAAGCAGAGCAATTGGAATGAAGTCGCTGAAATTATATACGATGATTGGCAAAACTTAGAAGAAAACACTAAACAAAAAAGAAGTAAGTTCCATTCTAATGAATTTATTATTTATTCAACAATATACTTGTATCACTCACTACATAAAACAAAGTATCATAATTTACATAGTATTTACGGCTTTACACACTCCGTTACACTATTTCTTCCTGTAGCTACAACTTACAAATATTTCTCTTGCCAGGATAGCTTTCCTTCGTTAAGAAAATAGTTTTTAAAGTTTTCTCTTGTTGTTTTTCCAGAATTTGATACAGTAATAATTTGGCTCCTTGAACTTGTAAGAGTTGTTGAGGTACGTCGCGAAATATGTGCATATTGTGCTTGTTCTCTTGCTATGACAAAATTATGTAAAATACAAACGGCTTTTACGATAGCGATGGTTGTATTCACATTAGTAGCGATCGGTGTATGCAGAACTCTCCATTTGCTTGTTAGGATGCCGAATGCACATTCCACGCATCTCCTAGCTCGACTATGACGATAATTGTAAATTCGCTCTTCCTTATTTAAACTTTTATTAGGAAAAGGCCTCAAGATATGCTTTTGTAATCCAAATGCCTCATCTCCAAGAAACACTAAAGGTTGGGGCAATCCATTTGAATTAGGCAATTTAGTTGAGTTAGGAATCTTCAGAGACCCACACGCCAATTTTTTGCCAAAACCACTTTCTTTAAATATATTACTGTCAGCATTTCGTCCGCAAGCACCTACATCAATAGCTATAAAAGAACAGTTTGCATCTGCTACGGCTAACAGAACAATTGAGAAGAACTTCTTATAATTAAAATAGTTAGACCCACTTTTTGGTGGTTTTCTAATACGGATATGCTTGCCATCGATAGATCCTATACAATTAGGATAGTTGGTTTTTTTATAATATCGTTTTGCTATTTCTAGCCACAATTCTTCAGAAGGTTCCGGCATTTCCTGTGGCTGTAAAATATCCCATATAATGCATGCAGTTTCACTTATTATTTTCGATACCGTCGATTTTCCAACAAGAAACTCTTGTGCAATTTTTCTGTAACTTAGTCCACTTGACAAGAATCTGGAAAGAATATTGAACTACCGATTATTTCTGTTTCAGTAAAAGACCTACAAAAAAAATGGAAGGGTTTGCGCGACTATCACACCAGAGAAAAAAATAAGGATTCCTCAGTCAAAAGCGGAAGTGGCGCAACAAAAAAACGCAAGACACCATACTTGGACATGTTACAGTTTTTAAATGTTTCTAGAGCTAGCAACCAGACATCTGGCAATATTAGCGCCGAGACGTCTAGCGACAGTAGCGCTATTTTAGATGAAAATGATTCTACTGACTCGGTAGTTAATGTCAGTAGACCAAAAAAGATGACTGTGTTTCAAGAAGCCCTAATTAACTCGATGGAAAAAAAAAGAGAAAACGATCCAGATATGAACTTTCTACTAAATATTTTACCGGAAATGAAGACAATGTCCCCAACACAGAATTTTGAATTTCGGTTCGAAGTGATGAAAATTATTAAAAATATAAAATATAGTGTACATAATAATTATGACGGTGGTATGATGCAAACTGGATGGACGAATGCCTACCAGTACCCACATCAGTATGGCTATGCGAGTGGAAGCAGCAGTACACCAAATGTGCAAAACTACCCTCGAAACAGTCCATCACATAGCTCTACAGGTTCTTCAGCGGAAATAGAAGACATAGAAGCAATATTGCGAGGCGATTCAAACCACACTGAAGATGAGGAATGACAGGTTACCAACTTAATGTTACCATATATGTTCCTAATTCAATTTAATAATACAGTAACTTTGAAAAGTGATTGTTAAATTAAAAACTATAAATGCGAAAGTGACTTTGTATTACAATAAAAATAACATATTTTTTTAAAATCCTAAAGCGTTAATTATTTACTTACCTCAAAGTTATAGTAAGCCGTTCTTCGGGACATAATGTATCTCTTGTGATATTATTTTTAGCTATGTACTGGGTTATAGATTTCAACAATTCATCAAATGTATGAGAAGTCATATTGAAATAGTCGTAAAATTTTTCTGGATGTTTCCTTAGTTCTGGATAAAGAGTGTGAAATTGTCCAATGCTCAACCTTTTCTTGTATAATGGGTGAACCCAGTGCTTCCTTTTATCCTCTTTCAGCGCTTCTAAGATACCAATTACTTCAAAAATATCCATCGTGACCAACACAACCACTCCCTTCGTACAACAAAAGTAAAGTGATAATTAAGTCGGTCGGCTAAATAAGCGGCTAACTCTTAACAGTTTGCTTGCGACGCACGAAAATTGATTTGAGTCTGCAGCTAACTCAAATTTCAGTTCGCTGCAAATTTGCGGCTCACTCAGTCGGCCGCTGACAGTTTGCTTACTGGGGACACAGCCTAAGAGCAACATTTGTAGTATGAGTGAGTATATTGGTTTCAATTCTGACACGATTCTCTAAACCTAAACTTAAATTTGACAACAGTGTATACTTGTCATTCTCTATACGGACTGAAAAGGAGAAATTGATGTTACATTTAAGTTTAGAGAATCACGCCAGAATCGACACCATTGTCTTGGTATTGTCAATAAAATAAAACTTGAGTAAAAATATATTAATTTATATTTTCATCATACAGTTAATAAATATTGATTTATATATCTATTATCACAAACACTTCAAACTTATTATCCTTAGGTTCATCTATGATTTGCATGGCGGAATAAGTGATTGCTTTTACCTCAGTTCCTTGTGGATGTTTGCCTATTTCGAACTCTTCTCCATAACACTGGCATACTATCCTAAACTCTTCTGTGTTAAACTCGGTTATAACAATTTTTTTGCATATTAAAAATGGTTCAACAGAGAAAAGATAAAGCAATTCGTCAAGAAAGTGATACAGTAAGCCCATCATGTCGTCTGCGTTAGCTTCTATACTATGAACTTCCCGGATTTGTACATAATTCAATTCCGTCATGTAACCAAACATCGCCATGCCGCATTGCTCAAAAGCTTCCTTAAGGCTGTCTCCCCACGCATGTAACCTGTAACGAAAGCTATAGTAATTAAATTAGAAATTACAATCGAGTTCTATGAGTATGTGTGTTCAATCACTTTAATCGTTTTATAAATATAAGGTGTCGATTCTAGCGTGATTCTCTAAACTTAATACTAAATTTAACATCAGTCTCTCCTTTTTATTCTGTACTGTATAGAGAATGAAAAGGATGCACTGCTGTTAAATTAAAGTTTAGCTTTAGAGAATCATGCCGGAATCGACATCAATATCTATAAACTTAAATAACACAAAAAAATCCAAACTACTACACAAAGTTGTAAATTCTTGCTTTTTTGTATCCTTTATCGTCAAGACAAGATTTCAAAGGTTTGTGTGAAAGATTATTTTACAGACCAGACATTACACCACCCGAATCCACCTATAGCCAGGGACAAGGTTTGTATAAAAGTTTTAAAAAATCGAACAGAAAAGTATTTGCCGGTACGAATACGAACACGAATTTCGCAGGGTGAGCAAGTGATAACAATTTTGCGTAGTCTTCTAAACTGAAACTATATTTACGAATATATAAATAATATAAAATATTATTATTTTTATTAGCCATTTTCTATTCGAAAAACTACTGTAAATATGGCAAATTATGCAACCTTGAGCTCAATTTGTGTTATGTTTATGTATGTTTCATTTCCTACGATTTTCTAGACTGTGAGATGAGTATAGTTTATTGTTTCCTGGGACGCCAAAAAGGGTACGAAACTGAATGTTCTATTACAACATTCTTTTACAACACTCATACAATAACATCAAATCTGCAGTTTTAAAATCAGCACTGTAACGTCTAATACTAAATATTTATGTCCTATCGAATTTCTCGCAACTTTTGAGCATTATCCTCCTTGAAAGGTTATTTACTTCACACACAACTTCTGCCAGCGATAGCTGCCACCTCTGAGATGTCCAAAGCAGATGGATCATTAGCTCGTAAACCGCAGGAGGAAGCAAATTCACTGGCAAAACTCTTTGCAGCTAACTACCGAATCGATGATTGCAATGCACGTCCACTGCAGATTTCAAACAGTATAAACAGTTACTCAAAATTATTCAAAAAAGTTTGTAGAATAGCCAAGTATAAATAACTGAGCTTAAAAATTAAAATTAAAAAGAATATTTTTCTATCTTTCTTTTTTGGCTTGCACGATTTGTGCACTAGCCACGACAGAGTCAAAAAGGTTAGGAAATGGCTTAGATTAAAACAAAAAAGGAAGATACGGTACGCTCACACTAATATAACATCAAATAAAATATGCTTCGACTCAACTGCATAAGCATCAAAGCATTCAATCGAGAGAGCGAGACAGAAGTGTACGCTTCAACGAAGCGAAACGGAGTGTCCTCGACGGTCGGTCCTGCAAACTGTTCAGTCGGTCTTGCAAACTGTTCGGTGGTGCTGTCGCCGGGGTTGGTGGCCTTTGTCGCTGTGTCCAGCTAGGTGATGACGCGCTCTTCATTGTCGGTCCCATACGTACTGTGAGCGAGAAGTTACCAACCCGCACTTGTTTGGGGGAGAATCCGGAGTGTCGATGTTCGTGGACTATATGAATGAATGCGGTAGGTGTTGATGATGGATCACTGCTAGAGCCTTGTTGTTCCAGAGAGAACCGCTTCCCTTTTCTTCCTTGTTATTCCTTAGAGCGACGGTTGCTGAATGACGTGCTGGGCGGTTCGGGTCTTCCTCCTTTTAGAGGTGGGTTCGGGAGCGGTTCTTCCCCGGGCTTCATCTCACGGGGGTGCGCCCCCGCGGGGTTAGGTGCCGCTAGACAGCGGCCGTAAGGGGTTCTAAATACACATGCAAGAACCCAAGCCAACCTCACCTTCACGCGGTGCACCCTGTTGACCAACAGACGAGGCTCTGGCAAACCGACCGATGGCGGTATAACCATCCAACGACGTAGGGGAGGGAAATCTCACTGGTGACGGGCAGCAGCGTCATCAGTGAATTAACCTACGTTCTGCGATCGCCAACGCGCCTGCCCAGCGTGGCGATTATGGGCAAAACCTTCAATGCAAACAAACCACAAGCCACGGCCCCCAGTTCCCGGCAGCTCCGCTATTCCTGGTCACGGTGGCGACCACGGTGACGGCGGGGCAGGGGGTGCCAAGAATCTCCGGGCTACGGGAGGCCACCACAATAGACTGACCCTGGCAACGTACAACGGACGCACGCTTCGGCTTGACTCGCATCTGGCGCAACTCGAGGTGGAACTTGGGAAGATTAGGTGGCACATTTTAGGGTTAAGTGAAGTCCGAAGAGAGGGGGAGGACACCATAACGCTCGAATCGGGCCACCTAATGTACTTCCGTGGGGGAGACCAACAGTCCCAAGGTGGCGTTGGGTTTTTGGTGAATAAGTCCCTTGCCGATAACGTTGTGGAAATGTCCAGCGTGTCGAACAGGGTAGTGTACCTCATTATAAAGCTCACCGAGAGGTATAGCCTCAAGGTGGTGCAAGTGTACGCACCGACCTCGACACACTCTGACGACGAAGTGGAGGATATGTTCGATGATATATCGAGGGCCCTCCACTCCACTACTAAGACCCACTACAACGTTGTTATGGGTGACTTCAACGCTAAAGTGGGAGTACAGAATTGCAGCGAATCGGTAGTAGGATCCCATGGATTTGGAAGCAGAAATCATAGGGGGCAAATGCTCGTCAACTTCCTCGAACGGGAAGGGCTCTTCTTGATGAACTCTTTCTTTAAGAAACAGCCCCAAAGGAAGTGGACGTGGCAAAGCCCCGACACTATGACTAAAAATGAGATCGATTTCATCATGACGGACAAGAGGTATATATTCAGAGACGTCTCCGTGATCAACAGGTTCAATACAGGTAGTGATCACCGACTCGTCCGGGGTTCTCTGAATATCAACTTTAAGGCCGAGCGCGTCCGTTTGATGAAATCCAGGCTCCGACCTACTCTGCTCCAATCTATAACAGGATCTGAAACGTTCCAGTCAAATCTGGAGAACCGATTTGCTGCCGTGGAAACCACATCAGACGTAAACCAAAACCTCGAAAATGTGGTTCGGATCCTCAGGGAAGAGGGTACGAGATTATGTGCAAGGCAGCGTAAGGGTAGGAAGTCAAAGCTTTCCGAAGAGACTTTAGGGCTAATGAAGGAACGACGTGAAAATCCACCCGTCACTTCGTCAGCAAAGCGGATCCAAGAGATCAGTAAGCACGTACGACATGACCTCCGGTGCTCCAATACTCTCTCGATCGAGAGAGCGATAGAGCAGAATCGAGGGTCCAAAGTGTTCGTACAATCTCTTGGAAGAAGTCATCTGACGAAGTTGACCACACCAAGTGGGGAAGTTGTTGCTTCAAAGCCGGCAGTCCTTTCGGAAGTGGAAGACTTCTACGGCCAGTTGTACGCATCACATGCATCTCGACCAGATCCCGGAAATGAGGATTCTAGAGCCACATTAACGCGTCACTTCACCGAAGACCTGCCAGAAGTCAGTATTGGCGAAATTGAGATTGCTCTTGGGCAGCTTAAAAATGGAAAAGTCCCTGGAGAGGATGGTGTTACAACAGAACTCTTGAAAGCTGGAGGTAAACCCGTACTGAGGGAGCTCCAAAAGCTTTTTAACACTGTCCTGTTAGAAGGGAGAACTCCGGAGATGTGGAGTAGGAGTGTGGTCGTCTTGTTCTTTAAAAAGGGGGACAAGACCCTACTCAAGAACTATCGACCCATATCCCTTCTAAGCCACGTCTATAAGCTGTTCTCAAGAGTGATCACGAACCGTCTGGCGCGAAGACTTGATGACTTCCAACCACCGGAACAGGCTGGATTTCGGAGCGGATACGGCACCATAGACCACATCCACGCAGTACGGCAGATTATACAGAAGACTGAAGAGTACAATCAACCTCTGTGCCTAGCATTTGTGGACTATGAGAAGGCCTTTGACTCGATTGAAATCTGGTCTGTCCTAGAGTCCCTGCAGCGTTGCCAAGTCGACTGGCGATACATCCAAGTGATTAGATGTCTCTACGAAGCCGCCACCATGTCTGTCCAAGTACAGAATCAGCAAACAAGTCCCATACCGTTGCATCGTGGAGTGAGACAAGGGGACGTTATTTCCCCGAAATTGTTCACTAATGCAATGGAGGATATGTTCAAGACGCTGAACTGGAAAGGACATGGCATCAACATCAATGGCGAACGCATCTCTCACATGCGATTTGCAGACGACATCGTCATCATGGCAGAAACCCTGCAGGACCTACAAAAAATGCTGAATGACCTAGCTGACTCTTCCATACGCATCGGCCTACGGATGAACTTGGATAAAACCAAGGTCATGTTCAATGAACATGTTCTACCGGAACCGATTGCAATACACGGTGCCGTTCTCGAAGTTGTTCAAAAATATGTATACCTCGGGCAGACATTGCAGTTAGGTAGAAACAACTTTGAGGACGAGGTGAATAGAAGAATTCGGCTGGGTTGGGCAGCGTTTGGGAAGCTACGTCAAGTCTTGACATCGTCGATCCCACAGTGCCTAAAGACGAAAGTCTTCAATCAGTGCGTCCTACCTGTGATGACATACGGAGCCGAGACGTGGACACTGACGGTACGGCTGGTCCACAGGTTCAAAGTCGCTCAGCGCGCTATGGAAAGGGCTATGCTCGGCGTTTCTCTGAAGGATCGCATCAGAAATGAGGTAATCCGACAGAGAACCAGAGTTATCGACATAGCCCACCGGATTAGTAAGCTGAAGTGGCAGTGGGCTGGCCATATTTGCCGAAGAACCGATAACCGTTGGGGTAGACGAGTTCTGGAGTGGAGACCGCGTCTAGGCAAACGTAGTGTAGGACGTCCTCAGGCACGGTGGAGTGACGATTTGCGCAAGGTGGCTGGCAGGAGCTGGATGCGAGTAGCCCAAAATCGATCTGAGTGGCGTGCAATTGGAGAGGCCTATGTCCAGCAGTGGACTAGGATAGGCTGTTGATGATGATGATGATTGATGAGACAGCGGCCATCGTAGGTGAGGAGTCCGTTTCATTCTTCTCAGTCTTCATTCACCAAGAAGGATTTACTACGCGGCCCTCAGCGCGGTCTTCCATGCCAGGTGAGACCCCTTTTCAGGGGATGCCCAGCTAGCGCCAGCGAGCAGTCCGCGGTTTATGTAAGTTTGGAGGAGGACAGAGAAATTGTATATGGATAGGTGGATAATTAGGGTGGTGGGTAGTTTTGGGTGAGGGCGACGGTTGTTATCGCCGATGCGTATCCATAGGCCTGTAGACAAACAAAGTTGAAAGGACACAATTAAATCAGTATCCCCATTTTGGGTTCTGGTTAGGGTGTGTATGGGGGCCCGCTCCCATATTGACTTCGATTATTACGCCACAGAGCATTTCAGTCATAGCTTCGATCGTGGCGTAGTTTATTTTTGGCTGTCCCTCTTCCTGTTCCTGTTGTGATTAGGCTTCGGCCTCTAACACAGTTTGTGTGGTCTTATCTCAACTTTTTATTCCTGCTGCATTGAGCGGAAGGGGAGGCGGTCTTGTTAGTGGCTTAGAGCCTTGGATTTGGCTTGAGCGGTTGGGCTGTTGAAGCGAGCCCTCCTGGGCTGTCGTCACAGGTCGACGGTCGGTTTTGCGTTTCCTGCGGCGACGTCTTCTTTTTGGTATGTATGCGCCCCGGTCAGTGGGCGGGTCTGCGGGGGCGGTTAGGGTTGGTCCGATTCTGGGCTCGGGAACATCGGCGTTTGGAGTTCGGTGGCCTGTGATGGTCCAGGGGGCGGGGCGGACTGACCCGGTATCAGTGTGTGGATTCTTTCTCTTCGGCGGCGTGCGATTTGAAGAAACACTCTGCAGGTTCTATTGTTGGCTGTGAGCCCTTTCTTACAGTTAGCACACGTAGTCAAGTCAGTTAATTCGCGTGGGCAGTCTGTTGCGTAATGGTCGCCGGCGCATGTAACGCAATGTTGTTTGCGGTGACACTTTTCCGGGCTATGTTCGAATGCCTGGCATCTATAGCATTGGGCGGCCGCCAGCCCTCGATAATGATGCCAGTATTCGATCACGATCCGTATTGGGAGTCTTCATCTTCCCCTGCGGCGCTGGTGGCGCTCGCGGTATGGGCGGACTTCAGCAGTGATGGGCCTAGTCTGGGGCCCTTATCATCGCCTCCGGACGTCTCGTCTTCATTGTCGAGTAGGCGGCTGCGTGGGTCCCTTGAGTGGGCATCCGCAGGTACGTAGCGGGGAAGGGCGTGAAAACAGCCCTCTCTGCGCTTGAATCGGCGGTACCTGGATTGGGTGTACTGGCGCGCATCCTAGGTGGCAGTTGTCGCGGCATGGGTACCGAAGAATAAGAATTCATAAGAAGTGTTTCTAATTATATGACCACCACTGATATTGACTTGAGACTTATCTAATTACATAGTTTTCTATTCTATGAACCTATTGTAAGAAAATCTAGTTGATATTATGACTACGAACCACTTATTTTGCCCTATAAAATCCTGTAACTATTTTGCTAATGGCTGAAGACCTATTTATTGTACTTAGCCCTGAAGGGGGAATAAAAATACACAAGATTTTTTTTTATTCAAATCCTAACATCATACCTTTGTGGTTTAATGTTACCAATAAATCTCATCCTAAACTGTACCAAAGTTATATATACTTATTCCTATCAATATCTGCTACCTATAGAAACACAAATAATAACAATATGAAACACATCACTTAAACAACTACAATTGCTTACAATAGGGCAGATGCAATATTTTTATTTTTGTTTTCATTTTAAAGAATTCCATATAGAATAAACCACAGATATATTAAAAAATTAAAACATTGTAATTTATCGGAAAACATGTTTTAGGTTTTAAATTGACAGTTTAAATTTTCGCGCGAAAACGGACCTATGGTTCCGATGACGTCACTCCTGTCTGTCACTGGTCGTACTTGTTCGTCGCGGGTTTCAACGTTCGAGATATTTTTTTGTAAAAATTTAAAATGGACTATCCAACAACATTTAAAGCAATAAGGAGTAATTAAAGTACATATAAACATAATTAAAAACCTGTATGAACAAAGCATAACTAGCATAAAATTAGAATCTATTGGCCACCCATTCCCTATTTGCAAGGGTGTAAGGCAAGGGGACCCTCTGTCTCCTAAGCTCTTTACAGCTGTTCTTGAAAGCATCTTCAGGAAACTGGATTGGGAAAATTTGGGCCTAAACATCAGCGGCTGTCGACTTAACCATCTCAGGTTTGCGGACGATATAGTTTTGTTCGAAGAGGATAAAAAGAAGCTTGAAACTAAGATCCAAGATTTAGCTAAAATTAGTATAGAAGTAGGCCTGGAGTTAAATAAAGAAAAAACCAAGGTGATGACCAACTCAGATCCCATTGATTTATTGTTAAATGGGGACCATTTTCAATATGTTACTGAATATGTATATCTGGGTCAAATTATTTCTTTTAGTGACCAGATGACTAAAGAAATCATCAAGAGAATAGCCTATGGTTGGAAGAACTATTGTTCGCTGAAGGAAATAATGAAAAGCAAGAGTCTGGGGATCCACATTAAAAGGAAAGCCTTTGATACCTGTATTTTACTGTGTCTAACCTACGGTTGTGAATCTTGGCCTTTAACGACGCAGCAAGGGATAAGCTGACTCATTGTCAACGGACTATGGAGAGAAGTATGTCAGGAGTAAGTCTAAGGGATAGAATAAGAAGTGAGGATCTAAGATCTTAAACGCAAATAACAGATATTCTATCTAGAGTGGACAAACAATAATGGAGGTGGACGGGCCACTTGCTGAGAGGTACCATAGACAAATGGAGCAAGGGAGTGACAGTCTGGTATCCTAGAGATGGAAAGCGTAGGAGAGGACCCCAGTTTAGAAGATGGGAGGATGAAATCAGCTGTACCCTGGGTCCGTATTGGACAGCTGACAGAGGTGAATGGCGTCGGTTAGAGGAGGCCTTTGCCAAAAGGCACACAGAACTGCGTGACTTATTGTAAAATGTATAATCAATGTTATGTTAAGAAAGTTCTGAAATAAAGGCTATTTTATTTATTCATTATTTATTTATCCAACAACATCAGGTGATTATAACAATACCACTAATATTCTGAAAAAAGGCCGTGTTGACTCATGTTTTGTGCCAATGTGTCCATCTACTTCAATAAAGTTTCCAAATAAATTGTTTTTGACTTTTGTTTGAATTAATTAAATTGACCCAAAACTGAGAAAAAAGTGGTTTTAAGCTACAAAGAGAAATGACCATTATTTTCCAAAGACTATTATTCGACGCTGTGAAGATCACTTTGACCTATAATAAAATAAGAGAATATCCTTGTTATATGGTTAATTAATCTGCTTGTACGTAAAAACGCGTTAGGAACCTACCTAATACTTACAAAACCTGTCTATAACATATTTTTAATTTTACAGTTGTAGAATGACTTCGAAAATTGGATAAAGTTTAAAATGAGTGGCATCTTTACATTGGCAGGACTGAACCAAGCTTTGCGTTTCATTTAAAATAATTGTAACACGATAACCTTCTTTACGTACTTTATGCTCCGGAGTAACTCAACTTTTTACTGTACATAATTCTCCATCTCTTTTAATTTGGACATAGCCGATTGCGTTATCGCCGTAAGATTCTCTTGTTTGAGCTGAAAAAACTGCTATGTGTAGAAGCTGAATAAAATACAAAGTTTAACAACTATGATTTATACATACCGTAGTAATTCATTTCTACACTTGAAAACTCTGCACTTTGGACAAAAAAGTTACAACCATATCAACACTAACTCTTGGTTAATTCCTGGAGTCTGCTTTGATAAATCCAACTTCCATTTTTATTAAAAAACTGCAATTAATATTCCCATAAAATAATATTCACTTTTACAACCATAACCTCAAATAAGTTGTCATAACAGGAGCGACGTCACTAAATGCTGATTGGTGTTTTAAAATACGTTTTTTTCAAGTCATTTTTAATTCGTAATTATTGTAAAAAAACAACATTATGTAAAATAAAAACTTTGCAGTGGTCTTCCTTTTATTTTTTTAACATTTTAATGATAAAATTTTCATAAATATTATGTTTGCATCTTCCCTATTTCTACTAACCCAAACTATCAACTTACAATCAAACTATCAACTTTGACCTATGATCCGTTGCAATAGCAACCCTCTATGCGATATTTATCATTAAAACCTAACTAATTTCTAACTGAATAACACAAAAAACCAGATTTCACTATTGATTATACACAAACTGTTTATGATGTCTCACTGCACTTATGAGTTTTGTCCTTGTTATTTTGGTTGTCTCATACAAATATCATGCTTGACTGGACTGATTGACAGAGCAATTGCATTGACATTATAAGCAGCCACAGACTTTAAATAAGAAATGACTTATGTATGACTGGGAAGAACAATTTCATAAGAATTCTTATGCAATAGTTCAATTTTCAAACACAATTTAAAATAATCATCTACCACTTTTACACCATCTCCATATACTTGCTCTGTAACAACTCACACTTAATATCTTTATCTATTACAATTGAGACATTCAAAGGGGACCTATTTCACAGTGGTATGGGCAACATGTATTGACAACACTATCATTAGGAAAAGTTATTAGAGTATTTTGTAGGTTGATTTAAATAGGCTATCATGCACTGGTATTTGAAAATAATAATGTATATCTAGTACTGTTTTGCATTCATTGTTCAACACATATACTGGCAAAGATGTAATGTGGGTGCACTGATAAGCATGCAGAAAAATTTATTCAAGGAAAACTGAGAAAGGTTAGATTTTTTGAATAGTTAAAGAATACTAACTGAACATCTGCAGTGTGATCCAAATCTGCAAGGAAAGAATTCTACTATAATCTTTAAACGACAATTAAAAAGGTTATTGTACTAGGACAATCACTTACATTCATATTTTACAGGTGGAAGGGTTAATTCGTCCATAGTAAATCCCCCTAGTTCTTCATCCATTTTTGTAAACCTGACCAATTAGAAATATATTTTACTTTCTAGCTTTCTTGGTGGCACCACAAGGAACTAAAATACGCAGGGGTAAAAATACACCTAAAATCAAAATACTATCAACAAAAACCAGAAACTTCTTTTTAACGTTCTACTTTTCACGGAAGGCAAAGGGAACAATGCACATACAGCCTAGTCTTAATTTTTATTTATCTTTTTTATATTACTTTGCAATGCCGGTGTAACGCATTCTAATGTTTCTTACAGTGTTTGGCACGAAAAAGCACTTGTGAAGGTCAAGAAGCTACGCCATCGGTTCGCAAAACTACGGCGGGAGACCTTGTACTGAGAAAAACCGGCAAGAAACTCAGCAAGGGCTGCTTTTTTCTCCCTGTATTGATATATACAGAGTCGTAAGTAAGTTGAAAAATGACTTCAGAGATACTTCTGAAGTCACCTTCCGTTACATTATTTAGGATACAGATATATAGTTACAATAAATTTTATATTTAATATATAGAAAGCGGCATTAGATAGGTACCATATTACTGTTACAAAAACTGACTCATACATACCCATTAAATAACAAACTACAAGAAACACTATGTCCATGCATTACGATCATTTAGATAATAACCATTAACTTTATAAAAGCCCTTATTCATAAGAGAATTCTTGATCTGAGATTTAAATTTGGTTAGTGGAAGCTCAATCAGATCTTGGGGTACTTTGTTATACAATGCAATACTACATCCCAAAAATGAACCTCTTGATTTTTGGAGTCTGAAACATGGAACGGCAAGCTTGTTTATAAATCTCGTGTTAAAGTTATGGGTTGGACTTTTTTTTGCAAATGCGTCATAGTTTTTTCTTACATATATTATATTTCATAAATGTATTGCGATGCCAGTGTTAAAATATTAATTTCTTTAAAATTTTCTCTAAAAGATTCTCTTGCCTTTAAATTATATATGGCGCGAACAGCTTTCTTTTGCAGTACGAAAATACTTTCTATATTAGCAGCTGAGCCCCACAACAAAAGGCCATATGACATAATGCTATGAAAGTAACCAAAGTAAACCAATCTTGCCGTTTCCACATCAGTTAAGAGTCTTATCTTTCGCTGTTAAAAAATAACAGCAAAAGCCGCAGAGCTCAGTCTACTTGATAAGGCATCAATATGAGCATCCCATTGCAGATGCGAGTCTAAAGTAATACCCAGAAACTTTGTAGAATCCACTAACTCTATAGGCTGGTCATTTATTTTTAAACTAGTATTAACCTGCCTCACATTAGGTAAAGTAAACTTAACACATTTTGTTTTACTAGAGTTTAGTTTGAAATTATTTACCGTAAACCAGTGAAGGACTTCAGAGAGAGTACAATTTACTTCGTCATAACAATCATTTCCTCTCCTAGCTTTAAACACTAAAGAGGTGTCATCAGCAAATAGTACTGTCTCACACAAATCTCTTGTAAAGTGAGGAAGGTCATTGATATAAATAAGGAAAAGCAATGGGCCTAATATTGAACCCTGGGGCACGCCCATAGAAATGGGTGCTCCTGTAGACACAGCTTCATTTATAACTACTTTCTGCATTCTAGCAGAAAGATAAGACTGTATCAGACTTAGTGAAATATTTGATACACCATAATGCTTCATTTTATTTAACAATGTTTCATGGCTAACGCAGTCAAACGCCTTAGATAAATCGCAAAAAATGCCAATAGCATCGTGCTTACTCTCCCATATATCAAAAATGTGTTTGAGAAGTGCAGTTCCAGCATCAGTAGTACTTTTGCCTCTAGTGAAACCAAACTGTTTCAAATGAAGTAGCTTATTTATAGAAAAGTGTGCTAGTAATCATCACTACATAGTATAAAACAAAGTCGCTTTCTCTGTCCCTATGTCCCTTTGTATGCTTAAATCTTTGAAACTACGCAACGGATTTTGATGCGGTTTTAATAGATAGAGTGATTCAAGCGGAAGGTTTATATGTATAATACATGCATAATATAGCAGAGAAACACTGATATTTTTAGAGGTTTTTAATATAAGGTCGTAAATAAACACATTTTTTGCACTTACATTGCAAACGCTGGCTGAACCCAACGAGATAGATCAAAATAATGTACTACAGTATTGTACACCTTAAAAAGGTCTACAAAAAAGTCCGCGATGGTATATGCCTATCTCTTTGGTATAACCCACAATAACCATTTTTTAATTACTTATTACGAGAAAATAATGGTGCCAATTCTGGCGTCATTCTCTAAACTTAAAACTAAATTTAACATCAGTCTCTCCTTTTCATTCTGTATGGAGAATGACAAGGATATACTGCTGTCAAATTTAAGCTTAGGTTTAGAGAATCACGCTAGAATCGACACCAATGGCTTATTTACGAACAAGCGATTTTAAGCAATACAGCATTAATCCTTAAGTACCTTAAATACATTGTGCGTGTAATATAGATCAATATAACCCTCTACAGCATGTAATTTAAATGAATATTTTCGAAGATATTACAGATTTAAAATGCAGGAACATACCGGTTCGGGCAGTACTGGCCGGGGGGCCGGCGGCGGTGCGTGTCTTTAGTAATTAGGTATTTAAAGAAAGTCATTGTGTTTAATAGAAACCTGAGAACAAAAATATAATCTAATTTTACAGCTCTAAACCGAAGTGAAGCGAGGGCGGGCCACTAGTTGGTTATAAATTATTTTCTCAAATACTTTACTTAGCGCTGGTAATACAGATATAGGCCTAAAATTGCTGGGATCTGATTTATCACCATCCTTAAAGAGAGATAAATGATGATTTATCACCAGCCTTAAAGAGATATAAAAAAATATACATGGTAATTTTCATATAAATATGATAAAACTAAGGCCATGATTTCACACAAAGTACATATAGACATCCTCAGCCAAACTAGAAAGTTCATCCTGTATTTTGGCTTCAGCGCACTTCCCTAATTTTAGTTGTAATGTAGTCATACAAATAACATGAGTACCATTTTTTCTTACGTTAATCTATACAATGAAAGTGTGTGTGCGTGGTGCGTATGTGTACATAATTAGAAGTATTTATATTTATAGGACTGTATCAACCAAATCCTCAGTATAATTGAACTAATTTTACTCTTTTTAACTTCATATTTGTTGATTGTAATACACTTACTGATCTTATTATAAATATGACTACCTACCCAAAAAGCGATATGAGCATTGAGCGTTGACAGTTCTGTAGTTTCATGTCGATTCTAGCATGATTCTGGTGTCGATTCTAGCAGTATTCTCTAAACTTAAAACTAAATTTGACATCAGTCTGTCCTTTTCAGTCTGTATAGAGAATGATTGAGATACACTGGTGTCGATTCTGGCAGGATTCTTTAAACTTAAAACTAAATTTGACATCAGTCAGTCCTTTTCAGTCTGTATAGAGAATGACAGAGATACACTGTTGTCAAATTTAAGTTTAGCTTTAGAGAATCATGCCAGAATCGACACCACTGTTGTTAAATTTAAGTTTAGCTTTAGAGAATCATGCCAGAATCGACACCTCTTTAAACCTAAACTTAAATTTGACAACAGTGTATCCTTATCATTCTCAATACGAATGAAAAAGAGAGACAGATGTTAAATTTAGAGAATCTTGCCAGAATCGACACCATTCAATTCTCTACTATGTGGAGCTCGGAATCTTACTCACTGACAGAAGCACAACACCACCAAAAGGTTGTGTTATATTCAGCGATGCCAGAACGTCCCAAAAGGGACCCTTTTGTCATCAAAACGTCCCTTCGATGTCCTTTTACATATTCCGTCCCTTTTAGGTAACGCTCCACGACACACATCGCTTTCATACATTATTACTATGGTTAGTAACATATTTACGTATGTGTCGACGCTCTAACCTATCTCGATGTATAGCTGTTTTTCGCATTTTTAAATAAACATTTTCTAACAAAACCAAATCTTCGTCCGATGAGTCCGACATTTTGCTTGATCTGCTTTAATCGGCTTCCTTTAGGCCGTATACAGAAAGAAAGCCGAAAGCCGATCGGCGCCGATCGGCGCTTATCGGCGCCGATCCTTCCTACATAAAGGAAGCCGATTAAAGCAGATCAAGCAAAATGACGGACTGATCGGACGATGATTTGGTTTTGTTAGAAAATGTTTATTTAAAAATGCGAAAAACAGCTATACATCCTATAAATAGAGAAAGGAATCGTTTCGGAGAATACCATCATTTATTTGTAAAAAAAATTAAATTTGATGAACAAAGATTTTATACATATACAAGAATGATTCAAGAAACATTTTATTACATTTTGGATTTAGTAAAAAAACCGTTTGATGAAAAATTGGAGCAATTGGCATAAACAACCAATCCTTCCAGAAGAAAGACTTGTTGTCACCATTCGGTAAGTACGAAACAAATAATTTTAGCGCTTAGTTAATAAAAGATAAAGTTATTAGATTTATAAAAAGATTATAACTTAGATTGATTTAATCTAAGGCTAATAATTCAAATACAAATTATTTATTATTCGGACCAGCGCGAGTCGGCGCCGCCGGTCCATAGAAAAAGGATCAGCGCCTATAGGCGCCGATAAGCGCCGATCGGCGCTGATCGGCGCCGATCGGCTTTCGGCTTTCTTTCTGTATACGGCCTAAGGGTGCGGCCAGAGTGCACTCAGATTCAGCTTTCGAAAACAAGCGCGAGAAATAAACAGTGTAGTCTAAGTAGGTTGCCTGGCCGCACCCTAAGGGTGCGGCCAGAGTGCACTCAGATTCAGATTCATATTTCGAAAACAAACGCGAGAAATAAACAGTGTAGTCGAAGGGTACGGCCAGATTGCACTCCTGATTCAGATTCAGATTCAGACTCAGAAAACAAAGCGCGAGAAAAAGCAGGCAACCTGCTTAGACTACACTGTTTATTTCTCGCGCTTGTTTTCAGAATCTGAATCTGACTCTGAATCTGAGTGCAATCTGGCCGCACCCTCAGGCCGTATACAGAAAGAAAGCCGAAATCCGATCGGCGCTTATCGGCGCCTATAGGCGCTGATCCTTTTTCTATGGAGA